CCAGCAGCAGATGAGAACAAATAAAGAGACCCACAGTCATATGATATGCAGAGTGTGAGAAACCTTGAAACATGCGATCCTAAATGGGATGTCTCATGAAATTCATCCCCTTAGGGTTTAGGGAACCCTGTGAAAGAAGATGCAAAAAGAGCATAAGAACCAAAGATGGGAGACACCAAGGAAACAAGGCCTTATAAACACAACAGGACCAATGCACAAATGAACTCAGAGACTGAGGCAGCATGCATAGGGCATGCATGGGTCTGCATCACACGGGTCCTAGAGCAGAAAGGAGAAGTGGACACATGCCCCCATCCCTAACCCCAAAGCTACTTCCAACTGATAACTACTTGAAAATGAAAATTTAGTTTCCTCCAAGTGAATCTCACCGGGGAAACTAACTACTCTTTTAAGGGTAGGCCACATGCCCAGAAGTAGATAACCAACGCAAAATGAACTCAATGACATCTTCAGAAGCTTCTTGTCTCATAATGTCTTGTCAGGGCATTTTATTTTTATTTTTTATTTTAACTTTTAAAATATTCTCTGTCTCTGTCTCTCTCTGTCTGTCTCTCTCTCTCTCTCTCTCTCTCTCTCTCTCTCTCTCTCTCTCTCTCTCTCTCTCTCTCTCTCTCTCTCACCCTACAGGTCCTTTGTGTATATATTATGGCTTCTGGTTTTGTGTTTTTATGGGATTCCTGAGTGAGTGAACAAGGGGGTTTATGTGTCTATATATATTTGTTGAACCTCTTCTTGGGCTCTTTTCCTCCTTTCTGTTTGTTTTGTCCTATTCTGATGTGTTTGATTTTGTTTAGTCTTACTATATTTTATTTCATTTCATTATCCCTTAGAAGCCTGTTTGTTTTCCAATGAGAGACAGAAAGGGAGTGGATCTGGATGGGAGGGGAAGTGGGGAGGATTTGGGAGGAGTCAAAGGAGGGGAAAACACAACCAGGATATATTATGTGATCAAAGGATCTATTTTCAATAAAAGAAAAATATGAAATGCAGCTCTAATAGTTGACGGCAACATCCCAGTATAAGCGATACTACTCTAATTCATAAAGTGTGGCAGACTAAAGAAAGGCATTCTTACATAACACATTTTCAAGTAGTCACTGAGAACCACCAGGAAAAAATAAACATTCCTTAATATGGAACTCTATCACCTTATCACGGCAACATTGATAGAAATTTGCCTGAAAGTATGGAATGGATGTTTGGAATCTGACCTCTTGAGTTTCATCCCAGTATAATAACATTATAGATAGCTGGCTTTCTAGTCTTCATTTCATGTATATTTTCAAATTTTAAGACATTCTTTCCATTATAATTCATAAAGGATACACTATTAAATGTTTCATGTAAGAATCTGCCTGCTACCTTGCAAAAGTACAGGTTAATGTGAAGAATGATTCCTTTTGTTAAATTTTGAATAGAATATTCAAAATATTTAAAAATGTTTACTTCTTAAGTAAATAAAAATTTTAATTTTGTAATTGAAACAATATGTGAAATGCTTTTTAGTTGTTTAAAATAATAAAGTATAGCTCTAAAAATATTAAAATATAAGTAGCTATAATACACACTGAAAAGAGCAATAAATTTTAAATAAAGTTTTAAAATGTACTACTGGTTATGCACATGAAAGAAACAATCAACAAAGTTTAAATGTAACACACAATACGTACAGAATATCTGAGTCAACTATATATCTGACAGAATGGTAATATAAAAACAATTCCTGTAATCTAACAGGAAAATATCACAAAACAAGGCAAATAACCTAACTTTAAAAAGGGCAATGGAAGTGCACAGGAATTTCTTCAAAGGAAACATTTAGAAGAATAATAAGTATGAAGAAAGCACCAAACATCATTAATCACACAGGACAAATTTCAAAAACCCACTGCAATATGACTTTACACAAGGTACAATGCCAAATGATCTCAAACAAAACAAAGGACGACAAGTAATATTTGACAGAGCTATATAAAAGGAAACCCCTGTCACTGTTAGTGGAAGCATAAATTGGTGTAACCACTATGGAAAACAACACAGAGGCTCCTCAAAAAATTTAAAACAGAACCAATATAGAATCCAGCAATCGTACACCGAGGCATATGTCCAAAGAAATTAAGATAAGGATCTGAAAGAAATATCTGCACCCCCCATTTTCATTTGACCATTATTTACAATGGCTAATACACAGAAGTAGTATAAATGTTCATAGATGGATTAATGGATAAAGAATGGGTTATACATAAGCAATTGAATGTCACTAGCTTGTATAAAGGAAGGAAATTCTGCTGTTTATGATATGGCAAGATCTTTTACCCACTGTGCCCAAATTTACCCACTCACTGACCTCAGAATTTAATATTCTTTGGATTTGCTAAGAAAATAGATCCGTTATACTCTTTTTTTTTTAATTTATTTTGCAATACAATTCAGTTCTACATATCAGCCACGGATTCCCTTGTTCTCCCCCCCTCCCGTCCCCCTCACCTTCCCCCCCAACCCCCCCCCCCCCATTCCCATCTCCTCCAGGGCAAAACCTTCCCCACAGACTGAGGTCAACCTGGTAGACTCAGTCCAGGTAGGTCTAGTCCCCTCCTCCCAGGCCGAGCCAAACAATCCTGCATAGGCCCCAGGTTTCAAACAGCCAACTCATGCAATAAGCACAAGATCTGGTCCCACTGCCTGGATGCCTCCCAAACAGATCAAGCCAATCAACTGTCTCACCCATTCAGAGGGCCTGATCCAGTTGGTGACCCCTCAGCCATTGGTTCATAGTTCATGTGTTTCCATTCATTTGGCTATTTGTCCCTGTGCTTTATCCAACCTTGGTCTCAACAATTCTCGCTCATATAAACCCTCCTCATTCTCGCTAATTGGACTCCCAGAGATCCACCTGGGGCCTAGTCATGGATCTCTGCATCCAGATCCCTCAGTAGTTGGATGAGGTTTCTAGCACAACAATTAGGGTGTTTGGCCATCCCATCACCAGAGTAGGTCAGTTTGGGCAGTCTCTCGACCATTGCCAGCAGTCTGTTGTGGGGGTATCTTTGTGGATTTCTGTGGGCCTCTCTAGCACTTTGCTTCTTCCTATTCTCATGTGGTCTTCATTTACCATGGTCTCCTATTCCTTGTTCTCCCTCTCTGTTCTTGATCCAGCTGGGATCTCCCGCTCCCCCAAGCTCTCTTTCCCTCAACCCTCACCTTTCATTACCCCCACTCACGTCCAGGCTGTTCATGTAGATCTCATTCCATTTCTCTGTCATTGGGTGATCCCTGTGTCTTTCTTGGGGTCCTGTTTTCCAGGTAGCCTCCCTGGTGATGTGAGTAGCAGACAAGCCATCCTTGTTTCATGTCTAGTATCCTGCTATGAGTGAGTACATACCATGTTTGTCTTTCTGAGTCTGGGTTACCTCACTCAGGATGATTTTTTCTAGATCCATCCATTTGTCTGCAAACCTCATGATGCCATTGTTTTTCTCTGCTGAGTAGTATTCCATTGTGTATATGTACCACATTTTGTTTATCCATTCTTCAGTTGAAGGGCATCTGGGTTGTTTCCATGTTCTGGCTATTACAAACAATGCTGATATGAACATAGCTGAACAAGTGCTCTTATGGTGTGGTTGAGCATTTCTTGGGTATATGCCCAAGAGTGGTATAGCTGGATCTTGGGGGAGATGGATTCCCAATTTTCTAAGAAAGCGCCATATTGATTTCCAAAGTGGTTGTACAAGCTTGCATTCCCACCAGCAGTGGAGGAGAGTTCCCCTAGCTCCACATCCTCTCCAGCATAAGGTGTCTAATCATCAGGGAAATGCAAATCAAAACAACTCTGAGATACCACCTTACGCCTGTCAGAATGGCTAAGATCAAAAACACTGAAGACACCGTTATACTCTTATCTAAGATAAGAATAACGGTTTACAGGATTCCACATACAGGTTACCAATATCAGCACATCTGCTCATTGTATCTTGATATTAGAATCATCTAGGGAAAGAATAGCATAGTTAGTCACTGGTAGGAGAAATAGCTTCAGCCACATAGAAAATAGACAGCAAGAGTGGCAGTTTCACCTACATTCTTGCTAATGGATCGCTTCTGGCAGTTGAAAACACAATTTAATTTCTCTATGGCACTCTTCTCTTGCTGCAGAAGAAAGACACCTTCCATACACAGGGAGGAGAGATAATTGGGGATTGATGCATGTGTTCTGTGAAGCACACATTTAAGCAAAACAAAGAAACATCGAACTTTCAACAAAAAGAAATATTATTGTGCAAGGCAATAAACCCAGCACACTCCCTAATGACATTTTATCTCTTGGTAAGAAAGAAGGTTTTGTAGGCACAAAGTCCATATATATGCATATAAATTGGAAACAAAAGACAGTAGGCATGAGAGTGCCTTTCCAATAAATAATAAAATAATAACAATAAAAAGAGAAAAGAGGAAAATGTAAGATTAAATTACACATTTTAATTATATAAATCAAACATCCACTGTAAATAGTAAAGAGAAATTCCTCTAAAAGACATTGTAAAATTACCATCTGTTCAGAAGGTCAATTAAAGTGTCAATCATCTAATTTAACTACACTTTAGAATTTCATATGCAAAAACTAATGAAAATTTCTCTCTTATGTATTCTGAGTGAATGTTTATGTAGGTAATATTAGAGAGACAACCATTAAACACTTGGAGAATGTTAAAAACATACCCCTGGTCTTTTAGAAAATAAAACCAAGTGGCTCTATTAGTCTCATTTTTCCCAACAATAATATATTCTTGGAGTAGAGGTTAGGGATAGAGCCTGATGGGGTGGTATCAGATGCTGAACATGTGCTCTATCATTGCTTTATCCCCAGAACATAGTATATCCTTTTGAAAGTGTTGATCCAAGATCACAGTGCTTTTTGTTCTTGACTGATTACTAGTATGTGAATGGAAAGTTGATGCAAAGTTTGCTACAAAACTGGATGACAATATTTCTAAAATTTTAATTTAATTTCTAATTAGAATACAATGTAACAGGTTCTCTTATGGGATTTTCATAGGTAACTAGTTTGGGTTGACCCTCACTCTCACCCACTCTCCTCTCTTGATCTTCCTGCCAGCCCCCAGCCGGCTATACTCCCTCCCCTAATATTCCCTCTTCCACTTTTAGTGTGTGCTCTATTATCATCCTCACAACATTCAATAAAGCTTCTTCTTGCCCCTCTCATAGTCTCCATTATAGTTTTCTGGACTCTACATATACATACTCTCACATAAATACACACAAATGAAAGTTAAAAGCTAGTATGCACACATATGAAAGGGCATGCAGTATTTATATTTCTGAGCATGTTACCTTATATAATATTTTACTATTCCATCCATTTTTCTGCAAATTTCACAATTTCACCTTGATTTATGGTTGAATAAAATTCCATTGTATAATATGATCACATTTTCATTATCCATTCATCTGTTTGTGAAGAACTAGGCTAATTCTATTTCTTGCTAATGTGAATAATGCAACAACAAACATGTATGTGTAAGTGTTTGTGAGAAACAAGACCCTTACTCCATAATAACTAATTCAAAGGACGACAAGCAATGAAATCAAGACAATTTCTTTTTCGTCTCAGCCAAACAAGGAACAGCCCAAACAAAAGAAAGGAAATGAAAGGCTGGTTTGATAGACAGTCTTGCTCTAGACCACTGTGGCTGTTGTTCCAGTGTAAAGTGCTCGACTTCTCTTTAATGACATTCATTTCTGTTACAACTACCTCTGCCTTCTCAGCATTCACTTTATCTACAACATTGAACGATTTCTGTCAAATGGCACATTTTGCATGTTTTTCTGCTATATTAGTTTCTTTCTCATTGTAGACCTGAATAAGAACAGTGAGCAGTAACCATGACAGAGCCAGAAAGCTATCCTGCTTGGGACTTTTGCCAATTTGGTATAGAACAGTATTTTTAATAATCATAATTTTAATTTCATATCCTTACTTCTCCTCTGGCTGGGTACTTTGGAGAGTTATAACATTCATGATTCTCTAGCATAGCCCTCACCCCAATTTTACCATATACCTGTGTTTCACGATTGCCTTCTGCATCCTGATACATGGGTTCAGTCATGTAATGGAGCTGTCTAATTTTTTAACCTTAAGATATACTTAAAGCACCTGGGCAAACAAGCACCAGCTTCTATTGAAGACAGGGGTCCACACCTCCTGTTTATCCCTATTCTTTGATAAGCTATAAATCTATCTAACACATCTTATAAAAAAATTGGACCATGATGCTTTCTTTTTTTAGCACAGAAAAAATATTTACATTTTAATAGATTTGCTCAGATGAAACTGTAGTTTGGAGAATTGTTGGTTCTTTTTTGTTTTGTTTTCTTTTCTTTTCTTGAAAATAGATTTTCTCACATAATATATCCTGACTATGATTTTCCCTCTCTCTACCTTTCCCTGTTGTTGGTTTTTATTTTTATTCTTTGACTCTTTGAGGGGCCTGCCACCCAGCTCCCCAATAAATCCACACATGGAGGCTTATTCTTATTTATGAATGCCCGGCCTTAATTTGGCTTGTCTCTAGCCAGCTTTTCTTAAATTATCCTGTCTACTTTTTGCCTCTGGGCCTTTACATTTCTCTATTCCTGTGTATCTTTTCTTTCCTTCTTATTCCATGTCTGGTTGTGTGGCTGGATGGCTGGTCCTCTTCTTTTCTCCTCGATCTTTTCCTTCCCAGATTTCTCTTTCTATTTCTTCTCTCTGCCTGCCAGTCCCACCTATCCTTTTCCTGCCTCGCTATTGTCCATTCAGATCTTTATTAGACCATTAGGTGTTTTAGACAGGCACAGTAACACAGCTTCACAGAGTTAAACAAATGCAACATAAAAGAATGCAACACATCTTTGCATCATTAAACAAATGTTCCACAGCATAAGCAAATGTAACACATCTTAAAATAATATTCCACAACACTTCCCAGTTCCTTCCTACCTCCCCTCCTCTCCAGATCCACTCCCTTTCTGTCTATCATTAGTTAAGAACAGGCGTCTAAGAGATAAGACTAAAATATAACAAAATGAAGTATAATAAAAATAAAACAAAAACCATCACACTGAAATTGGACAAGACAAACCAAAGGAGGAAAAGAGCCCAAGAGAAGGCACAAGGATTAGAGACCCACTCATTCACATACTCAGGAATCCCATAGAAACACTAAACTGGAAGCCATAATATATATGCAGAGGAGCTGGTGCAGACCTGTGCAGGCTACAGCTGCTCATGCTGCCTCAATAGGGTTGGGGTCCCTGCAGAGAAGACTTAATACCATTACATGAAAATGTGAAGGTAAAGTCTAAGTTGCCAGGGAGACATAAGAATGTTGGAGACACTAGGACTATGGATTGTCACTTTCAAAAGCTTTAAGACATGCAGAATAGACAAACCTAACAATTCAAGGAGTAAAGGGAGCTGAGAAGCAAACAAAAGGCACAAAAAGTCTATTCAGTGAAACTATACCATAAATTTTTCTAAAAGACAGAGAATGATATGGATACAAGTACTGGAGGCATTTACACCACTTAAAGTGGAAAATTACTTTAACTATGTAAAGGTGTGTTACATTTGCTTATGCTGCATTAGTTTAATGATGTGAAGAGATGTTGCTTTCATTTATGCTGCATTTGTTTAACAATGTAAAGATGTGTTGCTTTGCCTGCCTAAGGCACCTGATTGGCCTTATAAAAAGCTGAATGGCAAATAGCTAGGCAGGAGAGGGATAGGTGGGACTGGTGGTCAGAGAGAATAAGTAGGAGGAGGAATCTAGGCTCGAGAAGAGAGAATGAGAGAGAAAAAGAGGGAGATGCCCAGGGCCAGTGAGCCAGGCAGCCATCAGCCAGCCAGACATGGAAGAAGCAGGAAAAGTAGGACACAGAGAATGAAAGAAAGGTAAAAAGCCCCAAGGCAAAACATAGATGAAGAGAAACAGGTTAAATTAAATTATAAGAGCTAATGGGACAAACATAAGATAAGGCTGAGCATTCATAACTAATAATAAGTCTTCATGTCATTATTTGGGAGCTGGCAGTCTGAGAAAGCCTGCTACAAACCTCTCTGTTACATTGTTAAAACACTAAAAGCACAAAAAACAATATTAAAAGATACAAAAGAAAACTGTCAGCTTACATACAAAGGGAAACTCATTAGAATAACATTATCTTGGTAGAAATACCAAAAATCCAGAACAGTAATAAATAATGTAATCTAAGCTGTGCAAGTAAATAAATGTCCAACAGGATTACTATATTCAGGTGAATTATCTTTTTGAGAATTTTTGTTTACTAATTGTTTAAGAAATTCATACAATATGTTTTGGACACAGTTACTACCCTTTCCTGAGCTCCCAGAAGAGTTATATTTTAAAACCAGTGGTGAAATAAATACCACCCAAGATAGGTACAAAGTAAAGCAATTTATGACCACTCACCCAGTATGTTAGATACTTAAAGGAATTATACACACAGAGGAGAAAGACAGTTGCAAGTAAAGGTGCTCAAGAAAGAATAAACTTTATGAAAGGAGTAAACAAGAACAACAACAAAAAAAAATCAAACATGTTCAAGACAGCAACCAAGCTCCTAAAATAAAAAAAAGGGAGAAAGAAAAGATTTGAACCATGTAAACAATGAACAAAATTACAAGAATCAGTGAATATGTTTCAGTAATAACCCCCAAAGTTAGTTCTGTCAGTTTTACAACTAAGAGATACACACTAGCTGATTGGATTAAATGGCAAGAGACACTACTATTGATTTAAATATTAAGGCAACTCTACGTAGTTAAAAGGGAGGTTTATTTTGTGGGGTAACTTACAAGTGAAGGGATAGGTTACAAGGTCTGGGAAAGGTGTAGCGCAGTCCAGCGGTGTTCTCTGGAGAACTCTGCTTGGTCTACCTCCAGCGTCCAGGATTCAGGAACCAAGAGAGCTGGCACATCCGGATCTCGGGTCTTTAGGGGTCCTGTCTTGGCTCCACCTTGTAGGTGTGACAGTTACCGAAGCCGCAATGGGGGTAGTACTTCCAGGTCAAAGGTGGAATGGCTACCCACAATACACACCACATTGTCAAAGACACAGAATGAAAGCAAAAACTTTGTAGAATATTATTTTAGGGTTGTTAGATTTGTTTATGCTGTGGAAAATTTCTTTAATGATGCAAAGATTTGTTGCAAGTTCTTTTATTTTACATTTGTTTAACTCTGTGAAGCTGTGTTACTCTGCCTGTCTAAACACCTGATGGTCTAATAAAGAGCTGAATGGTCAACAGTGGAGCAGGGCTGGCAGGTGGAGACTAGATAGAAGGAGAAATCTGGGAGAAAAAGAAAGCAAAAGAACAAGGAGGGGAAGATGCTAGTGGCCAGCCACCCAGCCACCCAGCCAGCCACGGAGTAAGAGTGGAAGTAAGATATACAGAAGTAAGAAAAGGAAAAATCCCAGAGACAAAAGGCAGATGGAATAATTTAAGATAAGAAAAGCTGGCTAGAAATAAGCCAAGCTAAAGCTGGTCATTTATAATTAAGAATAAGCCTCCATGTGTGATTTATTTGGGAGCTGGGTGGTGGGCCACCCAAAAGAGCAAAAACAAACAACATTGTGGCATTCCAATGTGGAGCTAGAGTAAAAGAAAAGCCAAAAACAAAAAACATGGAAAGAGATACGCCAAGCAGTTGCATTGTGGAGACAATCAGGATTAGCAATACACATATGTGACAAAGTCGACTACACAGTAAAATTACTCAGAAGAAATAAAGGTCTCTGAACACTAATCAAACAACCAACTGATCAAGATGATGTAATGGTTTCTCTCTCTCTCTCTCTCTCTCTCTCTCTCTCTCTCACTCACACACACACACACACACACACACACACACACACACACACACAAATAATTTTATAATCTTTCTTTTGTTCTTTGAGACAAGGTTTTTCTGTGTAGTTTTGGTGCCTGTCCTTGAACTCACTCTATAGATCATGTTGCCCTCCAACTCACAGAGATCCACCTGCCTCTGCCTCCTGAGTGCTGGGATTAAAGGTGTGTGCCACCACCGCCCAGCTAATTTTATAATCTTTTAAAAATATACTTCCTAATCTTCCTAGGTCCTACCATATAGAAATAAGAACCCACCAGACCCCAATCATTCAACATGAACCTCCCAATTTGCCCAGCTCTGCATGAGAGACAAGGGAAAGCCAGGCCTCAACTACTCTGCCTACACTTCCCTTGTTGCTCCAGTCCCTAGAGCAATAAACAAATTTTATTCATTTATGTACTGGATCAATAAAATAAATTTAAGTTCCAATAAAGTATCTTGAACCCTGATTACCCTGCCCACTTGCACAGTTTCTCCAGCTCCTGGTGCTGATTGGCAAACACTCCCCAGACAGTCATCCCCAGGCCCACATTCTCATTCAACCAACTAACTCCAAATGCACAAATCTTGGCACAAAAATAGAAAAAAAAATCCTCATAAAAATCCAAGACATGTGTCCTCCAAAAATTATTAGTCCCATAATAATGGAAATCAAGGAGAATGGCCTTGAAGAACTGGCAGACAAGAAATTCAAAAGACAATGAAAACTGGTTTCAGAAAACTCACAGTAAAAAGTCAGAGATAAATGAAGTAAGGAAGCTAATACACGATATGAAAACAGAATTCAAAAAGATACAGAATTACTGAAGAAAAACTAAACTGAAATATTGCCAAATGTGAAAAACTACATAAGCCAAATAAAAGCCTCAGTTCCAGATCTCACCAATAGAATGGACCATGGGAAGAATCAAAGCTGGAAGACAAAGTAGAGAAACTATATCACTTTAAAATTTAGTGATGTTTTACAGGTAAACAAACAAAACCTCCCATGAACAGAAGAAGGGAAAACTCTTGAATACCATGAAAAGACCTAACTTTCAGATTATAGGCATGAGAAAAGGATAATTATGACATAGACTCTATTTTCAGTAAAATCACGTTATCAAAATGTTCACAGTTAGAAAAAGAAATGTGCATACTGGTGCTTCCAAAACACCAAACAGATATGACCAGGAAAGACACTCTCCACAATATATTATAATAGAATATTAAAAGCAGAATAAAGAAAAATAAAACTTCAAGAGGAAAAGGTCAAGTCACTTATAACGGCAGGCCCACCAGAATTACTCCTGATTTTCTGACAGAAATTTCAAAGTCAGAAAGGCATGGGAAAAGTGTTTCAAGTTCTGAAAGAACACAACTGTCAATCCAGAATATTACATCCAGCAAAACTATGAAAATTCATAGAGAAATAAAAATTTCCACAAGAACAAATTAAAAGAATTTATGACCACTAAGCCAACTCTATGGAGGATATTGAAGGGACTATTTCAGTCAAAAAAGAAGAATAAACACAACCAATGAAAAATAAATAACACCAGGACAATAGAACAAAAAAGGTCAAAGAATCACCACAAAATCAGTTTAATGACAAGTATACACATCTTTCAACAACAATTCTAAATATTAGTGGACTCAATTCCCCAATAAAGACACAGATTAGAAAACTGGATTAGAAAACATGATCTAGTTTTTCTCTGCCTCAAAGAAATACATTTTACCATCAAAGACATAACCTTAGCATAGAATGATGGAAAAGGGTACTTCAAGCAAATGAAGGTAATATACAAACAGGTGTAGCAATTCTAATTGTTGACAAAACAGACTTCAAACTTAAATTAGTCAAAAAGGGCAAGGAAGATACTTCATACTCATCAGAGGAACAATCCACCAAGAAGCTATTATAATTACCAATATACATGCACCTAAACAGGTGTACCTTATTTTATAAAAGAAGTAATATTATATCTAAAACCACAAATAAGCTCAACATGGGATATATGGGTGACTTCAATACTCTACTCTCACCAATGGACAGGATATCTGGCAAAAGCTACATCAACAAACACTAGAGTTGCATGATACCATTACTCATATGGGCCTAATATATCTACAGAACATTCCACTGAAACAGTAAAGAATACATATTCTTCACAGAAACTTATGAAACTTTCTCCAAAACTAATCATGTATTAGGACACAAAGCAAGTCTCAACAAGTACAGGAAAACTGGGATAACATCCTGATTCTATCTGACCATAATGGAATAAAGCTAGGTATCAACAACAAGAGGAACGACAGAGAGTACACAAACTTATAAAGACTATGAAATACGTTGCTGAATGAGAATTAGGTTGAGGAAAAAATGAAGAATGAAATTTAAAAATTCCTGGAAATGGATGAAAATTAAAACACAGCATACCCTGTTGTAGAATATTATTTTAAAATATGCTACATTTTTTTACTCAGCAAGGGCTTCTCAGTTGAGCCATACTGAAGTTGTCTGATTGCCTCTTCTCAAAGTTCAGGAAAAACAATAGTGCCATTTCAGACTTCTCACTTCAAAGGTCAGCACTCTAGGTAGGAACAAAAATAAGTATAAACATCTGTTTCAGTGCAAGCATTGGCATTCTAGAGCTATAGGAAGGTTGAATGCAGTTCCTGGTAATGCACCTCTGACCAGGTTTCAAGAACCAAGAAGCAGGTGGAGCCAGACAATAGAACTACATGCAAAAGACCCAGTTGTAGCATAGTGGTTTAAAGTTTGCTCACACAGTCAAAAAAAAGCTAAAAGATACCCAGTAAAAGAGGTCCAGATGGAAAAATCTCTAAACAGGTTCCAGTGTGTTTTGCAATGTGTGTAATCTTAAGAAAGAAAGAAAAGGGGTATGGACAGTCATACAAAGAAAGAAATCATTTAAAAATAATAAAGTCTTTAAAGAGTAATTTAAAAAGAGTAAGCCACTTAACAATGGAAATACACAAGGAATCTGGATCCTGTGCGTTATTGTGTTGATTTTGAATTTTTTTTTTTAATACTGATAGGCAAAAGACAGTTGCTAGGAGAAATGGGATTATAAACTGGAATGCTAAGTTGAACCAACCTAGATACTTTAGGAATGCCTTAACTTTAAAAGAGAAGTCAAAAATGTATTTGTCAAATAGAAGTTAAAAATGCTTTAGAGACGTGGTTTTGTTTTTGTTTCTATAGAAAACAAGAGGCTATGAATTCGTCCTACGTTAATATGGATTGGGTTAGATCAAAGGAGATCTTCTGAAACTTGACAGACAAATCTATCAAGAAAGTTTATACCTGGTCTTCCCAGGACATGGCCATTATCTCAAATTTTCTCAGGGACCCTTAACAATGCCTTTGCCCACAAACAACATGAAGCAGTCTAGAGAAAATGATGCCCACATTCCCAAGAGTTGGAGTGTGTGGGTGGTCTTTGGTTATTTGGTGGGTTATGGATGTTTGTTACCATTTAGAAGAATACAGTATATTGATACAAATTTAAAGTTATTTTCATAACACTGTAAATATGTTTCTACTCTTGTTTAAGATATTGTACCTATGCAGTTCATTTAAAAATGTAAGGTAAAATTCTAGGTTTTTTTTTCCAGAGCTGAGGACCGAACCCAGGGCCTTGCACTTGCTAGGCAAGCGCTCTACCACTGAGCTAAATCCCCAACCCCAAAATTCTCGTTTTTGAAAGCTATTATTATAAACTATTTAGGATAATCAAGAAGCACAGGTTAGTAGTTAGTCATTTATAACAATCAAATTTGTAGATATATTAGGTGTGTTTTCAAGATCATATAGAGATATATTCATATAGATATATGGTCTTCAAACACTTTAGAAACCTACAGAATATGGCATTTAAAATGTTTTGTTAACATAATGTTTTTCATGACAATGAGACACATCTGCTCCTGGCAGCACCAATTTACATCAGAGAAAAATGATAGGCATTGAAGAAACTCCATAGGAGTTTGCTTTCAAGGAGGCAAGATTAGCCATTTGGGCAAAGAAACTGCTCTTGCCTTTGATGGCTGATAATGTGGTATACAGACTGGACATGCAGGACCCACAGGAAAGTGACTGCTGAACTTTGCCAAAACAAGGTGGGATGGTCCTTCAGGGTTCCTGCTTCATGGAAGTGTCTGCCAGACATTCTGCAGGACACAGAGGAAAGCAACTGACAAAATTTGCCAATACAAGGCAGGACAGTCCTTCAAATTTCCTGCTTCACAGAAGAGTTTGCCAGATAGTCTGCAGGACACAGAGGACAGTGACTAGTGAACTTTGCCAATACAAGGCAGCATAGTCCTTCAAATTTCATGTTTCACTAAAAAGTCTGCCAGATACTCTGGGCCTGTAGACTGAAGATGGATACCCCAACATTGCAGAGGATCTTTGGGTGACTGTCCAGGCAGTCAGATGTCTCTGTCATTTCTAGAGTTTTGGAAACTGCTGTTTATAGATAATATTATGTCCTTCTGGGTCTTTGATGGAGTTGAAGGCTAAATAGTTATAGCTGCAGATTTCCTTAATTATGAAAGAAAGTAAATTAGGTGTAAAACTTCAGAGTCACTAGGATGGGATGGATGGTGGAATGTTTTCTCTGAATTTGTTAAATACAAATGGACTGAATAATGTAAATGTAGTTCTTACTTGTTAACTGTTTTGTTGTATATAGTTTTGCTATGTTGAAGTTAAAACCTTTCATTTTTATTTAGACAAAAATCAGGAAATGTTGTAGAATATTATTTTAAAATGTGTTACATTTGTTTATACTATGCAATATTTGTTTAATGATGCAAAGATGTGTTGCATTCTTTTATGTTGCGTTTGTTTAACTCTGTGAAACTGTGTTACTTTGCCTGTCTAAAACACCTGATTGGTCTAATAAAGAGCTGAATGGCAACAGCTATGAAGGAGAGAGGATAGGTGGGGCTGGCAGGCAGAGAGAATAAATAGGAGACAAAGAAGATTAAGGAGGAGCAAGAAGAGAGAAAAAGGAGCAAGAAAAGGAGGAAGACTCCAGGCACCGGCCACCCAACCCCACAGGCAGCCACCGAGTAAGAGTGAAAGAAAAGATACACAGAAATAGAGAAAGGTAAAAGCCCAGAGGCAAAAGGTAGATGGGATAATTTAAGAAAAACTGGCTAGAAACAAGTCAAGCTAAAGCTGGGCATTCATAAAAAATAATAAGATTCCATGTATTTATTTGGGAGCTGGTTGATGGCCCCCCCCCCCAAAGAGCCAAAAGAGTAAAAAACAACCAACAACAATACCCAAATCTATAGGATGCAATGATAGCAGTTCTAACAGAATGTTTATAGCATAATATCTACATGAAGAAAATATTAGAAACCTCAAATTAACAATAATGCACCTGAAGATTTGGAAAAACAAGAACAACAACAAAGTAGATATGAAGAGAAACCAAAATCAGGGCTGAAATTAATCAAATAGATATGAAAATAAACTAGAAAGAATCAAGAAACAAAGAGTTCTTTGTAAAGATGAACTTGTGCTGTGGAATAGAATATTTGCTTAACCATGTAAAGATGTGTTACATTTGTGTTGCAGAATATTTGTTAAACTATGTAAAGATGTGTTGCTGTTTTACCTTGCCTGCCTAAGGCACCTGACTGGTCTAATAAAAAGCTGAATGGCCAATAGCTAGACAGAGGATAGACAGGCAGGGCTAGTGGGCAGAGAAAAAAGGGAGGCCAGTCAGCCAGGACACAGTCAGCCAGACATGGAGGAAGCAGGATGGACAGTATGTAGATGAGATAAACTAGCCTCAGGGAAACTCACAGATTAATAGAAATGGGTTAATTTAAGTTTAAGAAGCTAGATAGAAATATGCCTAAGCTATGGGCAAATGTTCACAATTAATAATGTCTCCCTGTCAAGGTTTGGGGCTGACAGTCCAAGAAAGCCTGCTACAAACTTGATTAAAAAAGCTTGAGCCAAATTTACCAAAAGAAACAAATAAGACACAAATTAATAAAATTAGATATGAAAAGGGAAATATTACAGCAGACTCTGAAAATTCATAGAATCGTAAGGACATACTTTAAAATGTTGTACTTCACTAAACTGGAAAATATAAAAGAAGTAGATGAATTTCTAGATGCATATACCCTACCAAAGTTAAACCAAAATAGAGTAAATAATTGCAACTCAGCCATAACAACCAATGAGATAGAAGCAGTAATTAAAAACCTCCAAACTAAAAAACACCCAGGACCAGATGAATTCAGCACAGAATTCTAATAGACCTTCAACGAACTGCTCAAATTATCCCATAAAATAGAAAAGCAAGAAATACTTCCGAATTCATTTTACAAAACCAGTATTACTCTGATGCTAAAGTAGATTAAAACCTAATAAAAAGAGTGTTATAGGCCAATGTCCCTGATGAACACAGATTGAAAAACTCTCAATAAAATACAAACTAAATTCAAGAAAACATCAAAAAGATCACCCACCACTTAAAATCAGTTTCATTCCAGAAATGGAAAGGATGGTTCCACATGCATAAATCAATAAATGTAATCTACCACATAATCAGAATAAAGGACAGAAATCACATGATCATACCAGGAGATGCAGAAGAGGCATTTGACAAAAATTCAACTTCCCTTCATGAGTACTGGAGAGTCTAGGGATACAGGGATGTACCGCAACATAATGAAAGCAGTATACAAGCCCACTGTTTACATCATGCCAAATGGAAAAACACTCCTACCATTTTTACCAAAGTCAAGAACAAGATAATGATCTCCACTCACTCTACACCTGTTCAAAATACTGCTTGAACTCTCAGCTACAGCAATAAGACAAGAGGAGATAACAAAGATACAAATAGGAAAGGAAGAAGTCAAAGTAATCTTGTTTGGAGATTATTTTATACATAAAAGGCCCCAAAGACTCCACCATGAAATTCTACAGCCAAAAGTAATAGGATACAAAATCAACACACAAAAATCAGTAGTCTTCCTATATAAAAATGACAAATGTACTGAAAAGAAATGAGGGAAATAATACCTTTTACAATAGCCTCAAAAATAAAATATATTAAAGTAAAATAAAATATCTTGGAATAACTCTAACCAAGCAAATGAAATGTTTATAAATTAAAAACTCTAAAGCATTGCATAAAGGCACTGAAGAAGACATCAGAAGATGGAAGACCTCTCTTGTTCATGGATTGGTAGGATTATATTTTGTAAAAATGGATATCCTACCAAAAGCAATATACAGATTTGATGCAATCCCCATCAAAAGTCTAAAACTTTTCCATTTCTTCACAGAAAGGAAAAGTAACTTCAAAATTCATATGGAAATATAAAAGACCCAGGATAATTGAAATAATCCTAAATAAAAACCCCACTGAGAGTATTACCATCCCTGCTTTCTATTATACTACAGAGGTATAGTAATAAAACCTTAAAAGTATTGGCATACAAACAGACACACAGATAAATAGAATTGAGGACTCATCCATAAACCTATGCTCCAATGGTCATCTGAATTTTGAGAAAGAGGACAATAATATACACTGGAGAAAAGACAGCATCTTCAACAAATGGTACTGGTCAAACTACAAACATGTAGAAGAATGAAGCTAGATCTTTATCTCACACCCTTGTAAAACTCAAGTCCAAATAAATCAAGGAGCTCATCATAACACCTGATACCCTCAATCTGAAAGAGGCGAAAGTAAGGAACTCATAGACACAGGAATGTACTTTCAGAACAAGACAGGACCATGGTAGTACAAGCATTAAGAGTAAAGTTGACAAATGAGACTGCATGGAAATAAGAAGGCTTTGTATGGCAAAAGACACTATCATTCAAAAGAAGTGGCAGTCTACATATTGGAGAAAAAAATCTTTACAAGTCATACACTTGACAGAAAATTGTCTATAATATATAAATAAATCTTAGAAAAATTCCTGAACACCAAGGAAACAAGCTAATTAAATTTAGGACATGGAACTAAACAGAGAATTCTCAAAAGAAGAAATACAAATAGCTGAGAAATATATATATTTAAATGTTGCACATCCCTAGCCAATAGGTAAATGCAAATTAAAACTACCTAGAGATTTCATCTAACTCTTAGAATGGCTAAAGCTAAAAAAAAAAAAGAATGATGATGATCAATGCTGGCATGGATGTGGAGAAAGGGGAACACTTATTCATTATTGGTGGAAGTACAAACTGGTACAGCCACTACAGAAATCAGTGTGGAGGATCTTCCAAAAGCTATAATAGAGCCAGGCAAGGTGGCACATGCCTTTAATCCTAGCATTCAGGAGGCAGAGTCAGGTGGATTTCTGTGAGTTCAAAGCCAGCCTGGTCTACAAACTCAGTTGTTCTGAGTTCCAGAACAACTAGATCTGTCATACAATGAAACCCTGTCTCCAAAACACAAACAAACAACAACAACAAAAAGCTAGACATTGAACTACCATATGATCCAGGAATATGCACTCCCAGGCATATTCTCAAAGAACTCTATATCCTACTTTGAATGACTGCATATGCATGTTTATTGCTGTATTATTCAAAGTAGCAAGAAAATTAAAACAGCCTAGATGTCCTTCAACTAATAAATAGATAATGAAAACATGGCTCATACACAATTGAATTATATTCACCTACAGATAAAGTTGAATCATGAAGTTTTGCAGGAAAATGGATAGAATTGCAAAATATATTAAGCAAGGTGACTAAGACTCATATAAAAAATCATATATTCGCCGGGCGGTGGTGGCGCACGCCTTTAATCCCAGCACTCGGGAGGCAGAGCCAGGCGGATCTCTGTGAGTTCAAGGCCAGCCTGGGCTACCGAGTGAGTTCCAGGAAAGGCGCAAAGCTACACAGGGAAACCCTGTCTCGAAAAACCAAAAAAAAAAAAAAAATCATATATTCTTTCATTTGCAGATCCTAACTTTTGATGCTTGTATGTATGTAAATAAGGAGGTATGAGAGTGAGTATAGATTATGAAGCTAGATAGGATGCAACCAGGGTTTGGGGAAGGAGGGAAAATACAAAAGTATGAAAATACACATTAGAGAATGGGAATGGGGGAAAAGAAACAACAAAGATTCTGTTTGGAAACTGCTGCAAGGAAACATAATATTTATATGCTAATAAAGTAATTGCTGAAATCAGTGACAAAATACTGTCCTTCACATTATAATGCAGTCCTTTATAACACACTAAGGTTTTGTTGTTGTCATTATTTACCTTAAGCATAAAGTAAACTACTGACTGATTTTTTTAAAAACAGAGCCTCAAACAAACAGGAGAGGTAGAATACCTCATTTTGACATACAGCAGCCTGAGGGAGGTAAGTAACAACTAGACTGATATAGTTACTAAAAGGAGAGCCTACAGTATAATTTTATATTTTACTTTATTTTTGCAGGTATGGCAAGAGTTATTTACATAATTTTCCATTTTCTAGTAGCTACATTAAGAAAGTAAAAATATTTTGTGTATTGGTACATGCCTATAATCTCAGAACTTAAATGGTTGAAGCAAATTTGAGACTAGCCTGGACTACACAGCAATATCCTACACAGCAATATCCTATCACAAAAAAAATCAAGCAATTAGCTAGGTGGTGGCACCTGCCTTTAATCCCAGTACTTGGGAGGCAGAGGCAGGTGATCTCTGAGTTTGAGGCCAGCCTGGTCTACAGAGCAAGTTCCAGGACAGCTAGGGCTACACAGAGAAACCCTGTCTCAAAAAAATCAAGTAATTAAAACAAATATAAATAATAAAAATAAACTGGAAAATTAATTCTAGTATTTTAAACAAATATGTCAAAATATTATTCATGTAATCAGTAATAAAATATTTAAATGTTTATACTATGGTTTTTATTTTACATTGACAATATATCTCAATTTGGATATCAATTTTTTTCATGACTGAATGTAAAAATTCTTTTAAAAAGAAAAGTGAACAAAAGAAAATATTTCCCATGGCCAAAGTGAAATGTAAGCCTCCCAGAACAATAGAGTTGGTCATAACAGAAAATCGATATTTTACATTGCCACAGTTTTCAAATTAAAGCTTAAAAATAAATTAAGAATTTAATTCTCAATTGTACTGGCTAAAATTCAAGTACTTTACAGTCCTTAAGACTAATCACTGCCTACTAGTCAATCGCAGATCTGATGAAAATACCTCTTGTACTACGTGTAGGTAGTTCACAGAATGCCTGAAGGAACCAAGAGGAAGTGGCCTTCTGCTGCTATACACAGTTGGAATAAACAACAATATTGACAGCTTATGAATAACTGTGTCATCACTTGTCATTTAATTAAATACACCAAACTTGCATGCTCTTCCTTACTCCTCTCATTCTATTACAATTCCCAAGGAAATGTGAGCTACCATTCCCAGTTTCTCTTGTCAGCCTTTCTATAGTAACATCTATGTCTGTCTTGCTAAAATATTAAATTATAGTCTCTCTTCATGTGCTAGGGAAATCTCAAAAATATCTCTAATATATTTGCCTTCTCTTTCAAACTCACTGACAGCACTCATAGCTTCACACTTCATTGTAACCACTATTAAATTAAAGACATCATTATCACTGGCTTCTCTATTAAAACATTTACAGGCTCTCATATCTGTTCTTAACAAATTTCACATCACTCTTTGTCACCTTTGCATCATTCTGATACCAAATTAAACTTGTTTTTACTCTGTAACTGTATAATACATTAATTTTCTATCTCCACCTATCAAATGTGATTTGCTTAAAGATCAAAGTTTTATATATATATATATATATATATATATATATATATATATATATATATACTGTTCAAAGAATCAATATTTTATGTGCATAAATAATTGTTAATTTTAAATAAGTGCAGTGCAATATCCAGCTTACAATTTGCACCCACATCTGTTTCCTCAATAGGAACATAAAGGAAATGTTATCATAGTCTATGATTCATGGTTACTGCTCAAGTACTCTTTCATTGTATTGACTGACAAACACAAGACCCACAAAAGTACATCTATATAAAAACATAGACACGCACATGTGCTTTTGTGGTATACACATACATACACACACACACATTTTTTGTGGTGATAAAATCAAATTCTTTATATTGGCTAGGCAACTGTTCTACCACTGCACCACATCCTCAACTAAAGGCCCAAATACTTTACTTCAAGATCAATATGATCAATAGAGTCCTTAGAAACAGAATTCCTTTTAAGCTATTTTGTTACTGATTTTTCAGTCAGCAAAATAAACCAAAAATTAAAGAGAAGCAAAAGGAAAGGAAAATAAAGTGATAAAATTAACCATTCACTATTATTAAAAAGGAGTGCTGACAATTTTATTCCACCAGCAACAGAAAGTAGCCTTCTTACCTTAAAAACACAAAGCTGTTCAACATTTTGCTATTTAAAAAAAGTTTAAATAGAAAGAATTTGAAAAACTTAGTTCAATGAAACTTTGTGAGGACATGGACAAATAAAATCTGCTATCTTTAAGAAAAGTAGCATTTGCCCTTTGAAAGTTCTAGGAGTAAATAGGGAAAATATAGTTTATGCTTCCTTATTGGAAAAAAAAGTTACTTTAAGGAATTAAATAAATAAATAAAAATCACAGCATTAATTTACCTTCATGTTTATAAATTTATTTTCATGACTTGTGTATTCAGCTCATCCTTGACAGACTTATTTGCCAAACACAAAAAAATAGTGGTCTATTTAGAAACTTTCAAATGAATAACACTTTTGAAATATAGTTTATGAATACAAATAGTTCCAACGCAAACATGGAAAGCTGTCAAATGGGTAGACAAAATAAAATTCTAAGCATTTCTTTGATTTATAAAAGTATGTCTACTTTTCATTTTCACTAAATGAGTACAACCATTTTTAAAATATTTGTGAGTATCTGTGGGTGTGTATAAATACCAACATACACACAACAAAGAAACATTTCATAGTGGCAAATTTTTAGTGCATTTCCAAAGTCTGTCATCCATAGACATCTACATGCAAATGCTACTAGACTAGTACACTAGAACAGATAAGAAAGTATTAGCAGAACTCCCTGGCAAAAACTTTTTAAATAGAAACAATGAAACAGAAATTCACTTCTCATTTGAACAGCATAAAAAATAATCTCCTTTATGCTTTGAATCATATATACACACATTATTATTTAAGCTCAGAAAATAGCTTTTTACTGTACACACAGAACTATAATACACACTCAATGAATGCTGGCACTGGAAGAAAATGTGCCATGAGGAAAATGTTGAAGGGACAGGTCACAGGAAAAATATCTATCCTCTAACAAACAAAAAAGAAAGGTATGTAAGGACTAGGATGCATAGGCAAGGAATTAGACTATAGAAAAAGTAAGCAGAAGCCAACAGAAACCAATTAAGTTGGAACAAAGCAACCAGTTATGACAGAGGAGAGTGAATCTTGAAAGTTGCAGACAGGAGAGGTGAAAAACATTTCTTCTTTTGTGAAGCTATATATAGAATTGTCAGTCATAGCCAAAAGCAGTTGGAATGTGAGTTGGCTGAATCATAATATGAAACATGCACAGACTTTGCTAAACCTTCTTCACAGAGTTGCTCTGAACAAAAATGAAAGACATAAGTTATGAAAACATTCCACAAACTAAAAATGCTATACTCTCTGTACAGAGTTTACACAATATTGAGATTCCATCTTTCATTTCTTTTAATTCTGGAAAACTATAAGCAATGCTCTCTTCAGATCACAAAGGATGTGATCACCCTATGCTCCTTAATCAGATTTTGAAAGACTCAAAGCTCCACAGTCACAGAGAGAAGCCTGATGCTAGAAACAGAACAAGGATGTTGACAGACTGATCAAATGGAGAGGTATGGAAATAACCATGTGAGCAGTGTTTCCACTCCTGTTTTTTCACACAACAATTTGGGAGAGAAAATTATTGAGAGTAAGGAATAAAGAGACCCTTTCCTGTTTCATTCTAAACCTCACAACACTTTGTTATCTTGAATACCAATAGGGCTGAATTATGTCAATTTTCCAGAACAACATGAAAAACTGAGACTGTAAAAAGAGCATATAAAGTCATCAAAATATGCTGAAATACATGCTTTTTCTTATGTGTTGAAAACAGTATGAAAAAATAGTCTAAGGAATGTTAGTCATGTGCATACACATTAATCAGTAAACAGGAAACTGAGATTTAGTAAGACTAATATCTTCAAGACAACCTCTCCAACACCACAGAGCATGGACTGGACCCTGAGTCTCTTTCATGTCAAAGTCCTAGATGGCAATTTTAAAACACAGCCTCCCTACTACCCCCAAAAGATGTCAGAAATATCAACAATGACAACAGGAAACACAATTCTCTTTGCTATTTTGTCTTGTTAGTTTTAACATCATTTAAGAAAATATGCCGGCACTGAATAATATTTCTATTATAAACTTTCCTAAGTGTTCTAAACAACATTTCCTTCTCCCCTAAGTGTTAGCGATTGTACAAGAACAATTCAACATATCAGAAGCAAAAGGAATCACAAACAAATGTCTTGATCAGCAAAGGCTCTCAGTATCATGAAAGGAAAGGGAGACAGTATAAGGAAATTAATAAAAGAACACAGGGCAACCTATAAAACATCCATGCAAAAATAATATTTGAATATGATCAATATCATTACAAAATTGAGAAAATCCAGTGAAACAAGGACACAATCATCAAAAATAAGACGGGATGTGGCAGATTCTACTCAAAAAATAATTACTTTCAAGGAATAAATTCTTAAGGGGGGAAATGGAACATAGAGATTAAAATAACCTTCAGAACATTAAAGATAATTAAACCAGGTAGCATTTATATGACAATATGAAGTTGAAAACACGGATTTTAATTAATACAAAAAATTATTATAATAATTTTTTTTCTAAAGACCAATGCATTCTGAAGATCTGTACTGAATATTTATTACTAACTAATATCTGGTGCTCCTTCAAAAATAGTACTAAAAAAGGGAAGAGAACAACGACAAATAAGATGATTCATGGAATTACAACTGATGAGGTCAAGTGCAAAGTATGTATTCACCATCACACAACTTAAATTACTTTATATACAAAATAAGAGCATATCGTTGTTGGGGTGTCACAATAAATTTCAAGGAAGAAAACACTTAATATCAAGAATCTAAAGAGCTGAAAAGAGAGAAGAAATCTAACCAAATCACCACCTTTATACGTAAAAAAAAAAAAAAAATTAAGGCTCAGCTAGGTTAAGAGACTTGCTCACGGTCACAGAACTCATCAGTTCCAGACTCGGGATGAGAATTTAAATCTCTAAATTTGAAGTCCACAGACGCGTTCCTTCGCGAGGCAGCAAGAAACGACTGCACGTAAGCACTCCATCCCGAACATCCTCAGATTGGAGCGTCATAAAAGTGAGCCACAAGGCAGGGCACAGGCAGAGTGGGTTCATACCAAAAAGGGGGCGCCAGTCACCGTGATCAGATCTGTTTCTTTCTGAGAACCATGGCTTCCTGTTGGATTGGAGAATCCAAACTGGGTTTCTTCCTCGTGCCCAAAGAAGTCAGCCTCGGGATGCACGTTCCAATCGGCTTTGGCAGGGGTCAGTAGTTCGGAGACACTGTTTTCACAGAGGGTGCTGGAGGGGGTCAGAGCTTCCGTGTCCACGGTTAACTTATTGCTGGGCGTCAAAACCTGGGGCTCCAGGCTTGAGTTTTTCAGAGCCAAGGAGCCAAAGAGCCCCACGTTTCCGGCGGAGACATCGTCCATGTCTAAGGGGCTCTGCTGATAACCAGTCACCGAGGTTCCGAAGAAGAGAGAGGTATCCAGACTCTGGGGAAGGTCACTGGGGGCCCTCAGGGCCCGGGGGTCCACCGCTTGCCCTAAGGAATGGTTATTATCATCGGCAGGGAGACCTCCCGCGAGAGTCGAGTTCACAGAGGCCACGTCAATAGTCAAGATCCCAGAATTGACCAAGGCCGTGTCCAGCACCGCAGCAGAACTGTGGCCAGGCACATCGGAGAAGAGAGACACCAGCTCTGCACCACTGAGATCGTTCTGCCCCTGGCTGGTGAGCTCGCTGCTGGGCGTCAGGGAGTTGGCGGCTTCCAGCTGGGCCAAGAGGTCCTGGCTGAGGTTGTGCCTCTTGGCCATGTGGGTCTTCATGCTGTGCTTGGACGTGAAGAGTTTGTTACAGGTGGAGACGGGGCAACGGTTTTTCCAAGTGCCCACGTCCTGCAGGTGCTTCTTGGAGTGGATGTAGAGACTGCTCCGGGCGGAGAACCTGGCACAGCAGCCTTCCACGGGGCACACGAAAGGCTTCGTGCCCAGGTGGGTGATGCTGTGGCCTTTCAGGTGTTCGGCCCTGGTGAAGGACTTGCCACAGCCCTCCACGGGACAGGTGAACCTGCGGTCGTCGTCGTGCTTCCTCTTGTGTCTTAAGAGCTTGGACATGCTGGTGAAGTTCCAGCCACAGCCGTCAAAGTCACAAAGGAAAGGTCTCTCTCCCGTGTGGCTGCGCAGGTGAATCTTGAGCCTGCAAGCCTTGTCATACTGCTTGCTGCAGCCAGGGAAAGAGCAGGCAAAGAGTTCCTGTTCCCTGAAATGGGCGCGGTTATGAGAAAACAGGGCACTCACAGTAATGAACGTCTTCTTGCAGCCAGAGAACGCACACTGGTAAGGCCTCTCGGGCTCGAAGTGGCTGCGCTGGTGGGTGCTGAGCTTGGCCTGCGTGGGGAAGCTCTCCTCGCACACCTCGCACTTGAAGGAGTTCTCCTGCTCGTGCCCCTTCATGTGCGCCTTGAGGTTGTACACGGTGGTGAAGCTCTTGCCACAGCCCTCCACCGGGCAGCCAAATGGCCGCAGCTTGTCGTGCGACTGCAGGTGTCTCTTGAGCTTGTAAGACGTGGTGAAGGTCCAGCCGCAGCCGCTCAGGGGGCACTTGAAGGGCCGCTGGCCCTGGCTGCTGCTGTGTGTCAGCAGGTGCACCTTCAGCTGGTGCTTCTTGGCGAAGGTCTGTCCGCACTGCGCCTCCGGGCACAGGTACAGCACCACGCCCGGGCCCGGGACCAGAGGCCCGCGGGGGCTCTGGGCGGCGGCCGGGGCCTCGGCCTCCTCCTCCGGAGGCGCCGGGGCGGGCGCGGGTTCCGCCGGCTCCGCCAGCAGGAGGTCCGGTGGCAGCTCGGGGCAGTCGCCCAGCTGCGCCGCGGCGGCGGGCGGAAACCCGGCCTGCGGGGCGATCAGTCCCCCCGGCGGCGGCGGCGGCGGCTGCGGGAAAGGCGCGACCCCCGGCTCCCAGGCCGGCAGCGGGGGCGTGGTCAGGGTGAGGACGCCGTTCTCGAAGCGCAGCAGCAAGTCCTGGTTGTGGATAGTGATGGTGCCCGCGAAGGCCGCCGCGGGGCCCGCGCCCGGGCCCGCCGCGGGGAGCGGCGACGCAGCCGGGACGGCCGACAGGCAGCGGGGGCCCGGCTCGGGCCGCCCCGCGGGGTTCGCGCCGCTCTCGCGCCGCCGCTCGGGCCCCGGGCCTGCCTCGGCCTCCTCCCTCCACACCGGCCCTCCTCCTCCTCCTCCTCCTCCTCCTCCTCCTCCTCCTCCTCCTCCTCCTCCTCCTCCTCCTCCTCCTCCTCCTCCGGCCTGTTCCGAGCCCACTGTTTCTACATCGCCACCCACCGGGTCAAGCAGCAACAGGAAGAAGTCGTCGCCGTCGCCGCCGCCGCCGCCGCCGCCGCCGCCTCCTCCTCTGCCGCCGCCTCCGCCTCCTCCTCCTCCTCCTCCTCCTCCGCCGCCGCCGCCGCCGCCGTCGCCGTCGCCGCGGCTCGGGTGATCCGGCCTGGGCGCCAACCGGTTCGTGCTGGGGCTCGGGCCCAGGCCCCGTGAGGCCCTCTGGGCCTCTGCGCTCCGCGGCCCCGGCCCGCCATCTTGGGCCCCCCGGAGCAGTAGGAGGCGGCGCGTGGGGGCCTGACAAGCCAGAGAGTCCGGGGCTCGGTGGACCCCGCCGCCACCCGCGGGGCAGCAGCCGCCGCCGCCGCCGCCCTGTGGTGTCCCGCGAGCGGGGAGCAGCCTCGGGATTTCCATCTCGGCGGCGTCAGTGAGGCTCGGCTGGAACCAGAGCCGAGGCGGAGGCGCGACCCCCGCCCCCTGCCGCGGGCCCGAACACGTTCCTGAAAGGAAAAAAAAAAGTGCAATGCGCAGAAACTGGCCCTATCAGATATTAAAACGTATTTAACGCCACAGTGATTTAAATATTCTGGTACCGTGGCTCTGGAACGGGAGAGACAGCCCAGAGGCAGAGTCTGATGCGGAGAAATAACTTGCACACTTTTGTTACAAAGTAATCGAGGGCTTCCGAACTGAAGGCAGGAGAATGACAGTTGGTCCAGAAGGCTGCTGAGGCCCCTAGACACCTAGCCAATGAAAACAACTTGAATTCCTACCTCACTGTGGGGAGCAAATAAACCTATCGCGGCCTCCCCGGGAGCTGAGCGTGTTCCCTGGCACTTCTCAAGTGTTGGAAGTTGTTTACTGCTGGGCGGAGGACAAAACTTGGGACAGGGGAAACTATGTTGCCCGCACTAAATAAACTTCCTTAACGCTACCGTTTCTGGTGCAGATGCCCGCTCCAAACACACACACACACACACACACACACACACACACACACACACACACACACACACACACACACACACACACACACACCTTGTAATACTCAGAAATTAGTTATCGTGAGCCAAGTCCTGGGTAAAAATGTTTCACGCGGTTAGGCTTTTGACCTCCTGGTACAGGAGTCAAAATAAGAAACGGTACCAAAACAGGCTGGCACCCTTCGGCCTATGGGTGTGAGACCTGGTAGTTGAAGCGATTGATAATGAAATCTGGAAAATCCAGCCAGCTCCCCGGTTCTCCCTGCGGAACGCTTTAGGGTACACACATCCTCAAAACAATGCGGTTTACATGGAGTTAGGTAGTTGAAACCATACCGCAGGCTTCTTTCTGCGGCTAGCTTCTTGCGCGACAGACCCACCCACGTTGCCTATAAGGGCCTTATAGCTTAAATCCTCGCCACTGTTGACTAGCATTCAGGCAGATGCTTAGAGCGCGGTGGTGATGTCCCGCCACCCTACAGGAAATGGGCAGTGAGGCTCTTTTCTCACTATTATCAAGAGCATGTTTGTATCTTAATCACAGAAGACTCCTGTAAAAGCCTCTCTGGAGCATACCTCCAAAAACAGAATCCCCGGCTGCCCTGTGACTTATGCATAGCTCCAGCTTTACACACAATGACGACTTGGGCTATTTAATTTGTGGGGTGTTATCTGAGATGGGACCTCACTATGTAGCTCAGGCTGGCCCAACGTGCTCTCCGTGACAATCTTCACTCCCACCAGCAACACAGACCAATCCCGTTGCCCCGGGTACACCAAACAGGAAAAGAATTTTTCCATCTGAAGGGGCTTGACACTCAGGTTACTAGGAAGCTTTCGCATATTCTCACACTTCTGAATCTCTTGGCTCTTCTGTGCCAGGCCTGGTACAAATTGAACTCCTTTAAGCTGTTTAGGTTCCGTTTCCCATTTTGTGATCGCTGATTGAACGAGGTATAAATTTAAATGCCAGTCCACGTGTGTGGACACAGTATTCCTTTAAGGGCCTTGCTGCTTGCATTTGCACCTGCTGTGTACTGTGCTGTGTGAATAGGAGAGAATCTTGGTACTATTAGAGTCAGATGGAAACAAAAAAAAAGCGCCTCATGGCTAGGGTTTTTATTTTATAGATACTTGTACTAAGAAAGAGTTTCTGGACTACAGGGGGGATCCACAGAGGGAAAATAGAGGTCTTGAGGTGGGCTGGGTGGGTGATTGATAAACACATGTGATCTGAAAGCAGAAAGGGGACTACTGGGGTGAGAGAGTGTGAGGCTGGAGGTGCAGGCAGGGCAGGCAGTAAGGCCAGAAAGGATAGGAGGAGTCAGAGAAACTAGGAAAAGAAGTTATGCAAGGGAGAGCCATCATTGAAGCTGATACTTTGCATGTCAATGTAAAAAGTAAACACAAACACAAACTAGAATGAGTTTCTGGAGCCAGGGCTAACAGCTCTGTGGGGTCCCACTTGCCAAGCATCCACAGGACCCTGGGTTTGATCCCTAGGAGAAAGGAAGACAGAATGCAGGAAGCAGGGAGGAAGGAAATGCCCAAAACATAGACTCTGGGTGGCCTTCTAAATGCTCTTGCCTCTTACAGTCAGGTCTTTATCTACATGAAGTTTGTGTAGGATATCCAGTAGGGTTCTCTGCATAGGGATAGCTAATTTTCTCAGCAGACCACATATGGTATCGACAAGGCCATTCTTCTCCAGGCCGTTTGAACTACCATGTGTACCACAAATCGAGGATCATCGTTATATGCCTGGACTGGTGGGGTCTATGCTGGGCGTGCCGTGCCGGGATATTTTATTTATGTATTTGAACTATGTATGGCACTACCAATCTATTTTAAAGGCCTCACTGTCATGATCATACGGACCAATAGTGTCAAACAAGATATTTGGGTATAAAGAGTGTCTTGGCCATACTGGACCCATTTCTACCCGGTTTAAGCTAGCAGTTCATCATAAGATGATACAACGGAAGGCTCCTTTGTGACTCTAGGATTGTGATTGGGTGGTGATACTCCTTTTCGGTATTGAATGACTGATGTATGCTTAATGCCTGACTCTCCTCTTTGTAAGATCTTTTCTATTAAGAATGTTTATGTATAAAGCTCTACAAAATGGCCGGGCGGTGGTAGCCCGTGCCTTTAATTCCAGCACTTGGGAGGCAGAGGCAGGAGGATCAATGTGAGTTCGAGGCCAGCCTGGTCTACAGAGTGAGTTCCAGGACAGGCTCCAAAGCTACACAGAGAAACACTGTCTCACTAAGACAAAAACAAAACACTCTAAAAAATGTTAAAGGTGGATTTTATAATTACTCTTTGAAAATGTCCTACCTATATAATACAATGTATCTTGATTACATCCACCCTCAATGCCTCCTACCACTCCCCACTGGGAGCCCCCCAAACCCCCACATCCAGGCACAAACGGCCCCTCCCACCTTCATGTCCTCGTCAGATTTTCTTTTAAAATCATTTAAAAAGTCATACACTAGGCTTTTTAGTACTGCCCAGATGCACGTGGGTATGGAACCAACCACCTGAGCCTGGGCGGTCTACCACGATCTACCACAGGCCACACTCTTGAAGACAAATGGCTCTCCCTGCCCCTAACATCCATCAACTACCAATAGCTCTTCTGCAAGGAGACTGGCCTCTTGAGCCTCTTCCCCCAACCTGTGCTGGAAAAGTGACTGGCATGCTCCTGTCCAGGTCTCCTCACAAGTTGCTGTGAGTTCATGAGTGCTGTGGCCAAATGTCATGTGCAGGAGACACCATGCCACAGTGTTCTTCCCCATCCTCCACTTAGGACACTCTTGCTGTCTCTGCTTCTGTCATGTTCCCTGAGCCTTTGGGGTGGGGGTGGGGGTGGGGGTGGGGCCTGATACACATATCCCATTTAGGGCTGACATCCCAAGGGTCACTTATTCTCAGCAGTTTGACCAGGGATGAGTCACTGTCCGCTGCCAAAAGCAGCTTCTTTGGCCAAGGTTGAGAACAGCAGAAACCCGTGGGTGTATAGAGCATTGCTGGTCCAGCTGCTCTGGCTTAAGAGGGAAGTTCTGAGAGTCAGCTGGCTCTAACAGGTACCGCTTGGTGCTGTGTCGGGGAGGGGCAGGCCAGAGCCCTGGGTCTCTGCAGCCCACAGAGTCTGTCCTCTTCTGGCACGTGGACAGATTCGGGGCTGGTCATTCCTTTCCTGTAGTTGTTCCGGAGGCACTCTGTCTCCCACCAGGAGAGCTTCCTGTCCTGCAGGTCTAGTGTGTGTGAGGAACAGCCTCTTCCTTACAGTTACTCCTGCTGTCTGTCACACAGGAGCTTCACTGGGGTCAGTGGTGCAGAGTCAAAGTCTCCCAGCTGGGCTCTGATTCTCGGCTCTCCTGCTTGCTTTCCTACAAAGATTATCTCCATTTCTGGGGAGAGAAAGGTTTCTTCTTTCCAGTCTTACTCTGGTTAGTGTGTGTGTGTGTGTGTGTGTGTGTGTGTGTGTGTATACACATGCTCAGAAGGAAGCCCTTGGAAAATTTTATTAGAATCTGGGTGGAAAACAACAGGTCATGCGATAATGCCCGCTGCTGTCAGAAGAGGGGCACAAGAGATCAGGACAGGGGAAAGCCAAACCAGCTGTAGGCACCACACAGTGGTCTTGAGGCAAGCAGGAGGGAGAGATTGGCTAGGCAGTTGAGGGTGCAAGGATCCCAAGAAAAGTGGACAGTGTCTTTCCTTGGTAAAAGCTGGAAGTGTTTGGGGGCCTGTCGCAGGCCTCAAACTTGCCAAAGACCAGAAACGCCAGGAGTGTCTACAACAAAATGGCTCTGGTTCTGCCGTGGACTGAGATGGGCCGAGTCAACCATGGGCTCCAGCTCTTCCTCTTCACTTTCCCCTCAAGGAGTGTCTTCTCAAGGAAACCACACTGACTGAAACTACAAGGCGCCTGAACAGCAGGAGTGAGAACTGGACTGACCAGATCATTCCCAGACATTGCCTTCCTCCATCCACTGAAATCTTATCAACTCCAAGGCAAGGAGGCTCCACGGTGGTATCACACTATCAGACACACAGCCTGCTGTACAGAAGCGCTTCCTAAATCTTCTGTCTTTAGCAACCCCTAATAAAGTACTTCTTTCAAAACTCTCCCTCTGTGGTCAGAGTGAGAAATGTTATTCAGAACAAAACAACAACAGAGGTCAACAAATCCCAGAAAGGACTCATGCTTCCTGAACCTCCCCCTACCCCTTTGTGCCCAGGAAACAGTCACAGCAGATTGTGAGTGCAAGTTCCCACCTAGGGGATGTGGTCCAGTTCACCATGTACTTCAGAGATAACATGCGTGTTTGGGGGTACTGTTTATTGGCCCCAGGGTGTTTCTAGGCTGGATTAGGTTCTGACACATCTTATGTACCCAAAGACTTACCTACCCGAGAGGACACACTTTGTTTGTGTGTGCCTTTGTGCAACACCGAGATTATTGGATGTTTCTAATGATTAGGATGGGATAGGTCCTGGATTTCACACTTATTCGGGAGAGTGTTCAGTTTCCCTCACTTGGGAGAGACTGGCCCCTACCATGTTGTGGAGGCTTGAGAATCTCAGGTCCACTCTACAAGTCTAGATCAGTAAGGACCCCAGAGTGGAAAGTTCCTCAGCAATGGGAAAGAGCCCAAACAAGCACCAAAGCTACCGGTCAAGTCTGAGTACAGCCCTCAAGTAAAAAAAAGAAAAAAAATGCCCCGTGGAATAGCAAAGTATTTATTTCATCAGTGGCCAGGCTATTCAGGAGGTTGTCTGGGAGTAAATGAGGGAGAAGTTGTGCCCAAGATGGTTTGAAGGAGAGTGGCCTCCATAGGGTCCTAGGTTTCTCTCTTGGTCCCCAGGTGGTGGGGCTTTTTGAAAAAGGTTAGGAGGCGTGGCCTTGATGGAGGAGGTGTGTCCCTGGGTCCAGTAAGGTCAATACAACATAATGCTGACT